ATCTATCTATGAATGAATCTATATCTTCTATATATGCTCTATGTTATGTATCATCTATTATCTGAATTATCTATGAATCCATATTTATCTGAATCTATATAATATAGGTTCATAGATAGATAATGGATAATAGATTCTATATATTCTATCATCTATATTGTCTATCTATCAAAATATATGTCTATTATATAACATCTATATTATCTATTTCATCTAGACATCTATATATCATCATCTATCTGAATCTATATGTATGTGTGTGTGTGTGTGTATACACACACACACACACACACACACATATATAGGCAGCAATATACAATAAATATAATTTATCATCTATATGTATCATCTATATTATCTATCTGAATGTATCTATGAATATCTATATTATATATCATCTATATAGCTATGTATATATCATCCATGTATATCTATTATATATCATCTATCATTTATCATCTATCTCTATCATCTAGATATCCTCTATTATCTATCTGAATCTAAATCTGTATATCTATTATACATCGTCTATCATTTATCTGTCATCTAGATATCTATATTATCTATCTGAATCTATATGTATATCTATATATATCATCTATATAGGCAGCAATATAAATTCAATAAATATATCTATCATCTCTCTATATCATCTGTATTATCTATCTGAATCTATATCTATGTATATATATAATTTAAATATCATCTATCATTTGATAATCCTCTATTTATTATCTATGTATCTATACTATCCATCTGAATCTATATCCATCCATCCACCCATCTACATATACACAACATACGTATCCCAGCTCTATTACTTTTACAAATCATGCAAAGCAACTCAACTCAATCCACAGCCCTTCCTCCTATTTTCCCCACAACAACCCTGTGAGGTGGGTTGGCCTGAGAGAGGGAGGGGGGAACTGGCCCAAAGTCACCCACAGCTCTTCTTTCCCTCTCCCTTCTTTCGGTTACAAATCTAGCGGCCCTTCCCTCCAAGGAGCCCTCTTCACGGTGTGAATGCTACCAGCAGTTTTCTTCTCCGGAGTTAGGTCCTGAGCCCCTCCTCGATTGGTGGGACACGTAGTCTTAGCAAGGCCACTAATTCCACTTTCCGCCCCGAAGGCGCTACTCTTTAATAATAATCAGAAGAGAGCTGAAATAAACCTCCAAGGTCTTCTAGTTCAACGGCCCGATCATTCTCTTCTTAGAAACCTCTGATGTTAGAGCGCGGGGGTGGGTGGGGGATTCAGCTGATATGGACCGCTTCGGCCAACTGGTGGTTGCGGCAACGAGTTGGCCCCGCCCAGCCGCTAGTCTGTCCTATATTCCCTTTGTTTGAAGCCCAGCTGAAAGGTTCACAGAGTGGACTCTGCCCCTCCGCTGTTTTACTCACTGGGGCTGCCGTAGAAGGTAAGTTTTAGAGCTGTTTTCAAACGCTTTGCGTGCACTCACCAAACCGGTTGTTACACCAGTTGAACCCAACCAGTGTGGAGCACCCACAACTTCTAGTGTCAAGCAGTTCCACTGGTTCATTGTCCTCCTTGTTAGGAAGTTCCTCCTCAATTCCAGGTTGCTTTTCTCCTCGATGAGTTTCCATCCCTTGTTTCTTCTCTTGGCTTCTGGTGCTTTGGACAGTAAGTGGACCCCCCCACCCTTCTTTGGGGCAGCCCCTCAAATGCTGGAGTGCTGCTCTCATGTCCCCCGTCCTTCTCCTTTACTCTAGATTGGCCACATTCAATTCCTGCAACCGTTCTTCATATGTTTTAGTCTCCGGGTTTTCAATCTTTTTCCAAAGTCTCAAGATCTTTTTTTGTAACGTGGTGACCACAATGGGACGCGGCATTCCAGGTGTTGCCTTACTAAGCTTTACAAAGCGGTACGAAACCTTCCCGTGATTCTGATTCTCAGTCTGGGTTTAGACAACCCAGGATGTAATGAGCTCTTTTGGCTGGCGCCGCACACGGCTGGCTCGTATTGCAGTGATCGCCTGCTAGGACTCCGAGGTCCCTCTTGCACTTCCTCTTCTCCTGTCGGGTTCGCCTACTCTGTCCTTTGATAAGAAAGCCTCCCAAAATGCCTGTTTAATTTCCCTTTCAACTCTGCAATCCAACGATTGTCTTGCCACCCTCGACTCCTACGGATCAAAGGCGCTGAGGTGTCAAGTGGGACGGCTGATACCGACATCGGTCCAGGGAACCGGTTGCTCCAAAGCCGAATGGCCCAAGGATTCCCCAAACATTTATTCGACAAGCCTGCGAGGTGATCCAGATCCGGGCCACATGGCTGTCCTGGAAAGTGGAATGGGGTGGCTTGCGTCACTTGGCCCACGGTATCCCAGCAGACAAACATGTGCAGGAAGCGGCGGGCACATTTGCACACAGGCCCTGCCCACTCCATTCCGGCGTGCCCGCATGTGCACAGGAGGCTGCAGATCAGTGCTGCCACCTCCACTTCCTCGTGGGTGAGGGTGATGCAGCTGCTGCCCCTGTCAGCAGCCCACTCCCCTCTCCTCCCCCAGGTAGCGGCCCCACAGCAGCCCCCTTGTTACCAGCCCGCCCCTCCAGCCGTTGCTCTATGATTCTTACGCCCACTTGGGGGGAGGCCGAGGTGGAGCGCTCTGTGACTGATGGGGAGCCCCAGGGCTGTGGCTGGAGCGGTTACCACTATTGGCTGCGGAGCAGGCAAGAATCACTGGGCAGCGGCCAGAGGGACTGACCCACCATCCAGTTGGTGGGTAGGTGGGGGGGATGTGGCAAGGATGGGGCAGCCGCAGTTGCGGCTGGAGCAGTCGTGGTGCAAGCCGGAGAGCACACGAGCATTGCGAGGCAGTGGTCGGAGAGGCCCGCCTATCCACCGCTCCTATCCACCGCTGCACCCACTGGAGACTCCTGGATTGTATCCCTCACCTCGCCCAGTCCCCACTGGCACCACCCATGTGACCGACGTCACGGTGGCCACACCGCTCTGGCCCCTGTAAGACAACCACATTGCTGATCTGGCCCTCCGTGAAATCGAGGTTGACAGCCCTGCGCCTGGTCCATTTTTTACGTCGGGAGTCGCGCTCCAAGTGGAGTATCTCTCCGGGCTTAGCTGTGATTCTCACGGGGTTGCCCATCGATGGGATTCCCGCTGCCTCTCCTGGATTGGGGGCGTTGGCAGCTGCCTCCCAACCCCGTTGCAAATTCCTCCCCGCCTTCCAGCTCCGTTTGGTCTCCGCCAGAATCGGACCACGATTCTCTAACGGTTGAAAAAAATTACCATGGTCCATTAATCCTGGTTCATCGTTTGACCCTGCCAGGATTCAAACAATCCTTGGCTCCATTTGTTGAGGGAAGGTATGCTGTAGTTTGGTTGGAGGTCCTCTAATCCAACCCCCGGTTCACGCGAGCGACCCTATCCAGGCCGTCCTCGAGTTATGACCACAACGGGGCATCCAAACTTGGGTCGCTAAAACCGAGGCAGGTTGTTCAGGGAACGTTGCCCGGGTTTACGACCTTGATTGCCATCGTTGTGAAGTGAATCACTGCTAAATTAGTCACACCGTCGTTCAGTGAATCCAGCTTCCTGGTTGACTTTGTTTTGTCAGAAGGCCGCCAAAGGGGATCACGTGACCTCGGGACACTGTGACCATCGTACATGTGAATCGGTTGTCAAGCATCCAAGTGGAAACCGCATGACCCTGGGTCAGGACACCACGGTCGTAAGTGTGAAACCTGGACATAAGGCTCTTGTCAGCGCCGAACGGTCGCTACGTGATACGTTATATGTCGAGAGCTTATTCTAAGTTCACTTAGTGACCGTTCCAAGTTACAGCAGCACCAAAGGGAACTTACCACCTTTTTTCACCCTTATAACCACGGAGACAGGATTTACATATCAGATGCTTGACTCTCACTTATGACGGTCGCAGTGTTCTGGGTCATGCTATCCCCTTTAGGTCACCTTCTGACAAGGAAGATCAATTGGGGAAAAGCCAATTCACTTAACGACCGTGTGACTCATTTAACAATTGCAGTGATTCATTTTAACCTGGGTGGCCAGGCAAGTGGTGACAATGGGGTAACAGGCCCTTCACCAATGTCTCGCTTAACAACATCAATGTTGGACTCCGTTGTGGTCGTAAGTCGAGAACTACCTGCGTTTTTAAGTGCGAGAACCTCATGTGCCAAAAAAAAACCAAAAAAAAAACAAAAACCAACCTCCGGGCAGTTTCATCCGCACATTCGCAGCCGGGCGAACGAAGCCACGGACCACGCTCGGCCCTCCCGATGGCTTAAGAAACTCCGGGCACCTTCGGCTGCACATGCGCACAAGTGCGAAAGGAGGCGCCGTAAGAAAATCCGGCCACTTTCCGCCGCACATGCGCAAACGATAGCCTGGACCTCGCCCTTCCGATCTTTTTTAGAAACTCCGGGCACCTCCCTGCCCACATGCGGAAAAATGCCAACGAAGGCTGCGACCCCTCCCTCCGCCTCCCTAAAGTTGCCATCGCGCACGCACTTGTCCGCCCAAAACAAAGTGCGGGCATCTTCACCCGCACCTGCGGAAAAGAGCGAAGGAAAGCGCGGAATTCAGCCTAAACTCTTTGAAGGCTCCTTAGAAAGTGTAAACCTCGCACCGCACATGCGCGAACGAAGGCGGCGTTAAGAAACTCCGTCACCTCCCGACGCACATGCGCAAGAGTGCGAACCAACGCGCCGACAACGCTCGCCTTCCCGAGAGTGTTGTATAGAAACCGCGGGCACCCTCTGCCGTACATGCGCAGAAGCGCGAACGACGGCAGCGATAAGAAACTTATGGGCACTTCCTTCCGCATATGCGCAAAAGCGCCGAGAACTACTCCCGAGAACGTTGCAAGGAAACGCCAGCCCCCTTCCGCGCACATGCGCAAAAGCGGCAACGAAGGCTTTTAGGACTCCATCCGGCCTGCCCTCTAAAGTTCCCATTGCGCACGCGCTCGTCCGCCCAAACAAGGCGGAGTCTTTCTCTCTTTTTCTCTCTCTCCCCATTTCTCCTGCGTGGACGTACGTTCGTTTTATTATTTTTTTCCCTCCTCGTCCTCCGAATCGCACGCATGCGCGGAGGCGCGCGGGGCCTGCCTGGTATTGTCCCGCGCGCGCGCGCGCGCCCGCCCAAAGCAAATGGAGAATCCCGGCCCGCCCTGAGGTAGTTTTTTTTTTTTGGCGCCAGTAATGGCGGCCGCTGAAGCGGCTGAGGCGACCTTCCGTCATCGCCTGGCTTCTTCCCGGGCCCGCCAAGCCGTCCTTTGGACCCGGGCACGGAGCCTTTGCCGTCGGCTCCGGGCTCTGCAAGGCCGGCAGGTGGAACGGCACGTCCGGCACCAGCTGAACGGCTTGGTGACGGGCCGAAGCCGGACGCGGCCTGGTCGGAACGTAGGCGCCGACGGGGCCGAGCTGAGGCGGCTGGCGGCCGAGGCTCAAGCCCGGCTCCGGGCGGCCCAACGGGGCTGCGACTCCGACGCCACAGAGAGCGCCTCGGCCGCCTCTTCCTCGTCGTCCTCGGCCTCTTCTTCCTCCGGCTCCTCGCTCGGGATCTCTTCGTCCTCGTCGTCTTCGTCTTCGTCCTCCGCCTCGGCCGCCTCCTCTTCCTCAGACAGCGAAGGCCCCGAGCCGGGCCCCGGGCCCCGATGCAGCACCGGGGTGGGGTGAGTGTCTCCTCAGGGCTGCTTTTGGGAAGGGAGGTGGGGGGGGGTGTTCCACGGGTTTTTAATAACACGTGTAATTAGACCCTTACCTAGATGTGCAACGTGTGAATGGAGCCTGGCGGGGTAGGTGTGTGAATGACGGAGCGGGGTAACACGTGTAGATGGAAGCCTAAGATAGGTATACACGTGTGAATGGAGCCTGGTATGGGTTGGTATACACGTGTGGATGGGAGCCTGAGATGCGTTTTCACGTGTGAATGAAGACTGACATGGGTGTACACATATGAATGGGGGTGTAATGTGTAATTGGACTCTGGCCTGGATGTACAACGTGTGAATTGGGGGGGGGGGTGTAACACGTCTAGATGGGAGTCTGAGATTGGTGTATGAATGGGGTCTGGGATGCGTTTGTGTAGACCTTTGAATGGAATCTGACTTCTGGGGGTACAGGTGTAGATGGAACAAGAGATGGGTGTACACGTGTGAATGGGTGTGTACATGCGTGAATGGAGACACAGATGGATGCATATATGTTTGAATGGAGCCTGTCTTATGGGGGGGTACTCATGTTAATGGACTCTGATATTGGGTTGTATATATGTAGATAGGAGCCTGAGATGGATCCAGATGTGTAAATGGAGATTGACATGGGTGTATACGTGTGAATGGAGCCTTAGAGGGGTGTCCATGTGTGAATGGAGACAGATGGATGTGTATATGTTTGAATGGTGCCTGGGACATGTGTGAATGGAGCCTGGTATGATGTATACATGCATGGATGGGGACTGAGATGGGTGTACATATGTGAATGGAGACTAACATGGGTGTACAGGTGTAAATGGAGCCTTAGATGGATGTACAGGTGTGGATGGGAGCCTGAGATGATGTACACGTGTGAATGAAGACTGACTTCTGGTTGTACACGTGTGACTGGAGATATAAATGGATGTGAATATCTTTGAATGGAGCCTGACTTTTGGGGGCACCGGTGTGAATAGAGCCTAAGATGGGTTGGTGTACCTGTATCCATGGGGAGCCTTAGAGGGGTGTATATGTGTGGATGGAGACTGACCTGGGGGTACATATGTGAATGGGGTCTGACTCCTGGGTGTGTACATGTTCGTCCTCCTCCTCTTCCTCAGACAGCGAAGACCCCCAAGTTGGGCCCTGGGCCCCGACCCAGCACTGGGGTGGTTTGAGTGTCTTCTCGGGGCTGTTTTTTGAAGGGAGGTGGGGTGGTTTCCCCAGGCCTCGATGGTTTTTTAATACTTGTGGAAAGGGATTGGATTGTAATTGGATCCTGACCTGGATATGCAACATGTGAATGGAGTCTGTCATGGGAGTAGGAATGTGAATGGAGCGGGTAACACATCTAGATGGGAGCCTGACCTGTCTGTAAACTTGTGAAAGGGGACTGAGATGGGTTTGTACAGGTGTGAATGGAGCATGATATGGGTTTGTGTACACATGTGGATGGAGTCTGGGTTTGTAGACGTGTAAATGGAGCCCAGGGTGTACACGTGTGAATGGGGTCTGAGATGGGTTTGTACATGTGTGAATGGAGCCTGAGATGGGTGTACACGTGTAAATGGGGACAGAGATGGGTGTGGGCGGGTGTGAATGAAGATTGACATGGGTGTACACGTGTGAATGGACTGGCATGGGTGTAGACACATGTGAATGGAGATACAAATCTGTATATGTTTAAATGGAGCCACATGGGAATGGCGCCTGACTTCTGGGTGTGGACATGTATGAATGAAGCCTGAGATGGGTTTGTGTACATATGTGAATGGAGCTACGTGTCAATGCAACCTTTCTGGGTGTGGACGTGTGTCAATGGAGCCTGAGATGGAAGTACACTTGTGAATGGACTGATAATGGGTGCATACACTTGTGAACTGAGTCTAAGATGGACGTATTCGTGTGAATAGAGCCTTAGATGGGTGTACCTGTGTGAATGGGGGTTTAACATGTAGATGGAGCCTAACCTGGATGTACATATGTGAAAGGAGCCTGACTCCTGAGTGTGTACACGTGTGGGTGGAGCCACGTTGGAATGGAGCCTGACCTGGGTGTCTACGCGTGTGAATGAAGTTTGAGAGAGGTGTGTGTACATGTGGAAATGCAGACTGATACAGATGTATTTGTGTGAATGGAGCCTGACCTGGGTGTGCACATGTGGATGGGGGTGTAATGTAAGGATGGAGCCTGAGCTGCATGTACATGTGTGAATGGAGCCTGATATTCCTTTGTGTGTGTGAATGAAGCCTGAGTTGCTCTATTCCTCCTCTTTTTTGGCCTCCTCGCTTGAAAACTCCTGAGATAGCAAGGGCCCCGGGCCCCGACGCAAGACCCCGATGGGGGGAGCTTGCCCGGGTCTGGCGGTGTAACACATGTCAGTGCAGCCTGACTTCTGGGTGTGGACACGTGTGGATGGTTCCTGACCAGGGGCTGGACACGTGTGCAGGGTGCCTGACCTGAACGTAAATGTGTGAATGGCGTGTATGCATGTGAATGAGGTCCTACGTGTGTACATGAAGCTTGACCTGGTGTGTGCATGTGTGAATGGAGCCTGACATGGGTGTATACTCATGTGACTCAAACTTCGGTTGGGTGTGAATGCAACCTGACCGGGTTGTGAAAACGTGGCAAATTGACCTGGGAGTAGGTGTGTGAATGGAGAGCCTGCTACGGATGTACCTGTGCGAATGGAGCCCAACATGGGTGCATACGGACCTTGACGATGAACACCTGTGACGGGTGTGTACAAGTGGGAATGAAGCTTCATTGTACAAGTAAAGGGTCACTTCGCTTAGTGACGCCCAGCAGTCCCTGTTGCCATTAGAACTGAATCGCACCCATCGTCCTGTGAGGACCCACCCCGATCCAAGCCATTCCTACCCAGCTCCCTAGTGCAGTGATCCCCAACCTTTCTTATGCCGCGGCCCGGTATCCCCAACCTTTTTTATGGCGCAGCCCGGTACCGGCATTAGCTGGGCGCCGCCATCTTTTTTTGATGAAAAAGTGCTTCCGGTGAGCTTTCTACCCGGAAAAGCTCACTAGAAGCACTTTTTCATCAAAAAAAGATGGCGGCGCCCAGCAAACCAGCGGCCCGGTAGGACTTGTTCCACGGACTGGTACCGGTCCGTGGACCGGTGGTTGGGGACCCCTGCCCTAGTGAGAGAAAGGGTTTCCTCCTCTTGAGCAGCCCTGCCCACCTATCCCTTCCCTTCCCCCTCCCTCTTTTGCCTCTTTCACCCTGCATACTGACCATGGATCAGGGTGGATAAAAACTGATGGTCTTTTGTAAAAAAATATTTTAAAAATCAGATTTTTTTTAAAATTTAAATTGGATTTTTTTTTATCAAATTTATTTTAATAAAATGCTTTTAGAGTGAAAAAACATCTAAAGATAGTTTTCTATTTAAGATACATTCATAATTTAGTTTATTCAGCATGAAATGGAACTTAGTTATGTCGCCAGAGGCTATATATTCTGCTCTATTGGGACTGTCGGCGAGTCAGTTGCTCTTTAAAAATTATGATTTAAATCGAGTTGATTTACCGTGAATCAATTCTTTTTACTAGTGATTTCAATTGTGATTTCAATTCAAGTCGATTGAAATCAAACCTACCCTGCCACAAATCCACCATGGTGGCAGTGCTGGGACTGACTCTGACTTGGTCCTCGACTTAATGATCACAAAGTGAGCCCAAAACTTCCAGGGCTAAGCGAGACCATTGAGGACCTTTCCTTCTTGCTTTCAATGAATCCCCGTGGTTGCACAGTCGTTAAGTGAATCTGGCGCTCTTCCCCCCCCCCCCCCCCCCCGCCCGCCCCAGCCATTGGCTTTTCTTCTCAGACTGTCGCAAAAGGAGATCACGTGATCCTGGAATGCTGCAACCCTCATTACAGACTAATTTGAGTGTGACTGTGTGTGTGTTTTTGTGTTTCTGCAACCTGAAATGGTAAAGCGACGTTACAGGTCGTCCTTGACTTAACAACCAGAAGTGAGCCCCCAAATGTTATGTGGCTAAGGAAACCCGTGTGAAGGGAGTTTCGCTCTGTTTTAGGACTTTTCTTGTCACAGTTGTTAAGTGAATTGCTGCTGTCAGTAAACAAGTTGCATGCTTATTAAGCGAAACTGGCTTCCCCTTCCCCCCTTTTCGATTTTGCTCGTCGGATGGTCACCAAAGGGGAATCTCATGACTCCTGGATACCGCGACCATCGTAAATACGAGTCGGTTGCCAAACATCTGAATTTGGATCACGTCATAAATATGAGTCGGGAGCCACGTGTCTGAATTTTGATCACGTGACCATGGGGGTGCTTATGTGGGTCATAAGTGCGAGCGACAGACCTAAGTCCCTTTTTGCCGGATTGTTGTAACTTTGAATGGTCGCTAAATGAACTATTGTAAGTCAGGGACTAAATGCCGGTTGCTTAAGTGGGATGCTATGACCATCAGAACGGAACAGACACGCTGGCCTTGTCAAGGGAAAGATTGGCCATTCGCGACCCGAGCGCTTCACGAAGGGTTTGAATTCCTGTCCCTGGCTCCAGTTCCTGCTCATCTAGCCGTCAAAAGCATGAATTTTTTATTTATTTATTTTATTTTAGAAAATTTAGAAAAGTCGCCCATGGCAACTCAAGATTACTTACCTGAATATAAAAACATCATATAAAAATAATAATGAAATGATAAAATGATAAATGAATAAAACAAGAGCCCAGCCCAGCCCCCACCGTCCCTACAAAAGGCTAGTAGTTAAACAGATTCCATTTCAGTGGGAAGCTAACGTTGTTCCATGCCCAGCATGGTGAATAAGCCATGTTGGCCAGATGACCCGTCTTCGGACAATCCTAGCTTCCTTGGTCCAGAAACTGAGATGAATATGATGTTCTAGATTCAGACATGATTTATCTTAAGATCGGCATCTTGAATTTTGAATAGGGGACCGTAGAGATGCCACAATGGTTGTGGTTTGGGTTCGTTTAGTGTTGCCAGCACTTCCCATGGTGGTTAAGTGAGGACTATCTGAAATTGAGGCCTGGTCTGAACAGTGGGCTCCTTCTCTGAGTTGGGTGGGTTTCTTGCAGACATGACCCAACTAGGGAACAGCATCAGTGCTAGCAGGCAGCGGTGTTCCCATAGAGGAGGAAGATTGTGAGATCTTTGGTGCTGTCTCTGAGCTTGGCTTTTTTTTTTTTTTGGCAAACCTTTCATGGCTGAACTAGGCAACAGCCCCTGTGCTTTAACGTCATGGGTGACGCAGCCTAAAATATAAATAATGGCCTTTTTGAAAAATCCCAATTATATCACCCTTCAATGCCCACTCGGCCTATAACTACAATTCCTGTATATTCCCCCCCAGCCCATCCCTCTATCTAGCCTTACTTTTCAATGCAAACTTAGTCTTTCCTTTCCTTTCCCTGCAACCAGACTTCTCTGAAATTTTATCTATCTATCTATCTATCTATCTATCTATCTATCTATCTATCTATCTATCTATCTATCTCAAGGGTCTTCAAACTTGGCAAGTTTAAGACTTGTGAACTTCAACTCCGAGAATTCCTGAGCTAACATGACTGGAGGAGGAATTCTGGGAGTTGAAGTCCATAAGTCTTAAACTTGCCAAGTTTGAAGACCCCTGATCTATCTCATCCATGTCTTCTATATCTATCTATCTGTCTGTCTGTCTGTCTGTCTGTCATCTATCTATCTATCTATCTATCTATCTATCTATCTATCTATCTATCTATCTATCTAATCTAATGAGCTGTGGTGGCACAGTGGTTAGAGTGCAATACTTCAGGCTACTACTGCTGACTGTCAGCTGCCAGCAATTTGGCAGTTCAAATCTCACCAGCTCAAGGTGGACTCAGCCTTCCGTCCTTCCGAGGTCGGTAAACTTAGGACCCAAATTGTTGGCGGCAAGTGGCTGACTCTGTAAACCGCTTATGGAAGGCTGTAAAGCACTGTAAAATGGTATATAAATCTAAGTGCTGTTGCTATCTATATATCATCTATCAATCTATATCATCTATCTACATCTCTATATATTATCTATCTAATCAATATAATCTATGTCATCTATCTACTATCTAGATCATCTAGCTATATCTCTATTTGTCTATATCATCTATGTATCTAATCTATCATCTAGCTATATCGCATCTATCCACTACCTATATCTCTATCTAATCTCTATCGCATCTATCTACTACCTACAGTATATCTCTAATCTCTCTCTCTCTCTGTATCATCTATCTATATCTGTTTATATCATCTATGTATCTACCTAATCTTATATATTATCTATCTCATCAATCTTCTTTATATCATCTATTATCTCTATCATCTATACCTATATATGTCTATATCATCTATGTAATCTATATTATATCTCATCTAGTGTTTATCATCTATCATCTGTATCTCTAATCACTTTCTGTCTGTCTGTCTATCCATCCATCCATCCATCCATCCATCCAATCAAGAAGCCAGAGCTTGAAAGCTTGCCAAATGACCTTCCGGAGAAAACTGAAATACAAAACCGATCGTGGCTTCCTTCGGAACAACCTAGGAGTTGGCTGCTGAGGAAAACTTGTATGGGAATGTATGTATGTATGTGTGTGTGTGTGTACGTATTTCAGTCCTTGTGTCTCTGAGGCATCTAAGCTGCGTGAAGACACTAATGCCAAGTACGTATTGTTTGGATGGATTGAAATCCCTCTTAAGTGTGTGTCTTTCTCAGTACGAAGAATGCGAACGCCAATGCTTCTGGTTTTTTTTTTCAGGCACCGGCTGGCACAGCGCCAGTGGGCGATGGAGAGAGCGGCCATCATCTGTCGCTGGACGTGGCTGCAAGCTCAGGTGTTGGACCTGGAGTATCGGATAAGGCAGCAGACTGACGTTTACAAGCAGCTCCGTGCCAACAAGGTAAAGGACAAGCTGCCTTCCTTGCCGGAAGCCTCTTCTTACGCCCCATCTCGACATCCTGTTCATGAACCTGTTTGGAAGTTCGGAAAAAACGGCTTATATGAACCGTCAGGCTCACAGTGCTCCAAATGCAGACTGGGTCATCTTTACGACAGTCGTCGCAGTGTCCCAGGGTCGGGGGGGGGTGACCTTCCCAATACCATGAGACTGACTTCACAATAGGCAGGGATTCGCTCAACAACCAGGTCGTACAATAGAGTCAAAGCTCACATCCCAACGAGGTCACCTCATTGGGGCAAGAGGAAGTGTGGGGTTTGCTCTCTGTTTTATATGTACAGTCCCTTGCAGCACTGATGACGTTCCCTAGTGGGGTCATGAAACATCTGCAAGAAACACACACCCCCAGCTCAGAGAGCACCAAGGACCCCTAATTATTTCTATTAATTCTCCCCCCCTTCCATTTATTTTGTAGATGGCTGTGAATCTACTGTCACAATCCACTAGAATATACAAGTAGAATACATAATACAAAGTGGTGTTTTTTTTCCCCTCTCCCCAGGGCCCAGTTATCCTGGGCAACCTCCAGCAAGAAGATGGGCTCAAGCCGCCAAGCCGCCTGGCCTCCCCTGCAGGGGGGATGAACTCCAGGAAAACCCCGGCCCTGCCTCCCTCCTCCCCCCACCTGAAGGTGCCCACTGGACTATCGCCTTGTATCCCTTCTTATCTCCTCCAAAATGCGGAAAAACAGGTTGGTATTGTAGCAAATGCATCCGGTCCCAAGGAGCAGTGGTTGACCCAGAAAGGGTGGGGCAGCGAGTTTTGGAAAAGCTGTGTTGTCAAAAGTCCTTATTTCTTGGTTCGAATGGGGTGGGGGGAGAGAAAGAGAAGAGCTTAGGTCAGGGCCATTTTAAGACAGGACTCCAACTCCCAGAATCCCCCAGCCGGCATCCGTTAAGAGGCGTGGGCTTCCACTCCCAGAATTCCCCAGCCGGCAATTTTTTGGGCTTTGTGGGCGGAGGGTTTCGAAAGTCATGAAGGGAGGGTAAATCCTCCCTGCTGAAATGGCAAATAGAGTTGAGCACTTTTCTATTGTTCCTTTTTTAATGGTTTTAATTTTTTTAATTCTTTTAATTTAATGTGTTTTAATTCTTATTCTCCTCCAGCTTTTTCAGTGCTGGGAAATAAAACATGTTTTTGGAACCAATAATAATAACAACAACAATAATAATATTTAATAATAATTGCATTTTTTCCCTTCTAGAATTCTCACCTCGCCCAGTCCTTAAGGAACCTGGTCTGTCAAAATCCCTCCTGCGCCCGCATCAATGGTTCTCCAGAGCCCCCCAAAGCCTGCCCGTCCCCCCATCAAGTCAACGGAATCAGCAACTGGTGAGTTGTCCTATAAGATGTAAGTGGATAAAGTTTACCAGGCTGTGAGTTCGATCCTAGGTAGAGGCAGATATTTCTCTCTCTCTCTCTCTCTCTCTCGGCACAATGAGAATATATCTGCTGAACAAAACTCTGCATCAATGACAGGAAGGGCATCCGGCCAGTAAACACTCTGCTAGCTCCATTCAGTTACCCCGGAGTAAGGGATTAAACAAAGATGATGATGCTTTAAATGGATAAGTTTATAACGAACAGATCATGGGGGTAGTTATCCTACAAGATTTAAGTGGATAAAATTTATAAGGAAGAGCTCATTGTGCTTGCCGGGCCTTTTTCAAGGTCATTTATATTTTGATCCTTTTCTCTGATTTTAATCTCTTCCTCCTTTTTTGAAAATTTATCCTATTCATATATACGAATAGGCTAGGCTAAGATAAGATAAGATAAAATATCCGTTATTATTTTGTATTGTGAACAGACTTGTCCACATTAAACATGAATTCCTTCCCTCCCTCCCTGCCTCTCTTTTTCTTTCTTCCCTCCCTCTCCTACTTTACTTCCTCTCCGTCTTCCTTTTCTTCCTTCCTGCCGCCTTCCCTGCCTCCCTCCCTGTCAGTCCTTTCTTTCCTGTTTTTCTTTCTTTTCTTTTTCTTTCTCTTCCATTCTTCATTTTCTCTTTTTTCTTTTTTCCTTTCTCCCTCTATTCCTTCCTTTCCTCCCTCTTTTCTTCCTTCCTTCCTCCTTGTCTCTTCCTTCCTTCCTCTCCTTTACTTGCTCTCTTCCTTTTCTTCCTTCCTTCCTCCCTGCCTCTCTCCCTCCCTCCCACCATCTTTTCTTTCTTTCTCTTTCATTCTTTCATTTTCTCTTTCCCTTTCTTTCCCCCTATTCCTTTCTTCACTCCCTCCTTTTTCCCCTTTCTTCTTCCTTGTCTCCTTTGCCTTCGTCTCCTCCTTTACTTGCTCTCTCCCTCGTCCTTGTTTTCTTTCTTCCTGCCTCCCTCCATCTCTTTCTTCCTTCCTTTCTTTTTTTCTTTCTCCCCCCCCTCCTTCTCTCTCTCTCTCTCTCTCTCTCTCTCTCAGCTAGTTTCTCTCTCCAAGAGCTAATTTCCAATAAAAATGTAAACGGGTGGTGCCACAATGCCATCAGGTGATTTTGTGGGGGCCACATCGCAACTCTGAATCGGGCTGAAGTCTCTTTGGTGGGGACCCATCGGCACCTTTGAATGGTCATAACTCGAGGACCCATTATAGTTGCGCTCTTCGTTTCCTGCCAATTTCTTTTGCAAGGATTCTGGGCAAGGGAGGTTATCATTCCTTCCTACACAAACCAACATCCCCATTTAAGTTGCCTGGGATATTTTTTATCGTTTTCTTCTTTGACCCTCCCAGCTTGAGCACCTGCGCCACCAGTGGCAGCTCTGCCGAAGGGCCGGCCTCCGAGAGGCACCTCAAGAAACCCCCACCGGCAAACCACAGCCTCCCCGGTGTGGCCTCGGCCCTGGACAACAGCTGCGTGGCAGCTCGGATCCGTCCCATCTGCAGGTACAAGAAGCGCCGGCTGGTGAGACTCGGCTCTATCGCTCACCTGAACCGAAAGGTAAGGCCAGAAGGCGAGGCAGACATTTCAAATGGGGTCCTTTTGAGTTGGGTGATGACCAAACTAGAGAACATCCTCAAGGAAGGAAGGAGGAGAAAGAAAGAGGGAAGAGAAGGAAGGAAGGAAGAACTGGGGGATCCCTGGTGCTCTCTGAGCTGGGTGGTTTTCCTGCAGATGTTTCATGACCCAACTAGGGAACATCATCAGTGCTAGGGAGAGAGTGGGGTTGGCTCTCTGTAGACATACCATATAATCTCACTCCTTTCTACCACTGATGGTGTTCCCCCACACAGAGCATCCAGGATCCCACAGTCCTTCCTCCTTCCATTCCTTTTCTTCAGTGTAACAGATTCAGAAGGGACCTGAGAGGTCCTCTAGTCCAACCCCCCCACTCAAGCAGGAGATCCTTACAGAATCATAGAAGGACAGAGTTATAAGGGATCTCAGAGGTCATCTAGACCAACCCCGAGGCTTGAGCAGGAGACCCTTACAGAATCACAGAATGACAGAGTCACCCCCTGTTCAAACGGGAGACCCTTGACCATTTCAGACCACCGGCTGTCCTGTTGGTTTTCTTCCAAGCCTCCCGCAATGAACCCCACTCCTCTTTTCCAAGTCCTGAGCCCAGGAGACCAAAGAGCGGTTCAAGTCGTCTTTATCGTTCTGTCCTCTCTCTCGCCCCACAGCCGCCGAAGCCTCTCAGCCTGAAGTGCACCTGTGAGCAGCCCAACTCCTGCATTTTGTGCAACTTCAAGGCCTCACTGCCCCCCCTCGACCCAGAGGCCATGTCCCTGGAGGAGCGCATCGCGCTGCTGGACTCCAGCTTCCACCCCATCCTCTCCTTCCCACACGGTGAGTAACTTTACACCACCCGTAACTCCTCCCCTCTCTGAAATTATTCTCTGTCCTCCTTCGCTTTTTTCTCCCTTCTGTCCTGTTTGCGGGCACAAAAAACATTTCCATTGCTAAGTGAGACGGTGAAGAGAGGCTTGCCTTCTTTTATGACTGTTCTTTACACCGTTGCTTAGGGTCTCACGGGCCTTGTTAAGTGAGCCCCACGGGCTTTGAGGGAATAGAGTACGGAATGGAATTGATTGGAATTAGAATAGAGTAGAATATGAATAGAATATGAATGCAGAATGGAATAGAATGGAATGGAATAGAAAAGGAAAAGAGAATGGAATGGAATAGGAAAGAATAGAAAGTAGGATATAGGATATAGAATGGAATAGACAATAGAATTAGAACAGCTGGGTGAAATAGAAGAGAAGAGAAACTTTACTGTCGCTTTAAAATGTACACTAATCAGCATACATTAAAATGATATTTCCTTGTATTTAGCCCTCTAGAGGTAACCGTCGCGCAGATACCCTCATACACATGCAACACGTATGACACAGAGAAAACCCCACAGCCTTCATTCCAACATCTACATACACGGAGCAAAAAAACCAAAGCTTCCGGCCAGCTTAACGAGACGTTACGGCATAAGGCATCGAAGCCGTCGACCCGTGTTACTCAAAAGAGGACAAGCCTCTTGAGTTCTGTCTCAACTTTTGTAGGGTTCCAATGTCATTTATTTATTTATGATCTCTTTTTTTCAACAGGCAACCCTCTGCATTTACACTTTGAGGCCTTGCTCCGAGAAGACCACTGGCGCACCCCCAAACCCGACTTTCCGAAGCCGCCCCATGGCAGTTTGAAAGACTTAACCAACAATGTTGGCTCCCCATCACTTACCGCTCCGGGTAAAAGTAACTGCGTGGGGGTTTGGGGTTTGGGGTGGGGGGAGGTTTGCTGTCTCTTTGACACCATGTCCCATCTCCTTGATGGGCCTTGCAGTTCAAAAGGGGGATTGGAACCAGTTGCCAAGCAGCTGAATTTCAATCGCGGGGTTGTCATCGTCATCACCTCTTTTGGAAGACGGGGCGGTCCTTGACATATGACCAGGGTGGGCGTGGACTGTTACCTGTTCACCTCGGTTCAGGCGAACCGGTTCTAATTTTACCATATTTTTTTTATGGCCGGTTCAATGAACCGGCAAATCCTGCCCCTGGCTGGCCCTGCCCTGCCCCTTCCAGGAGTCTCCACACAGCCCGTTTTGGATGCCAGGTAAGTACAGGGCCCACGTGGAGGCTCAGGGAGGTGAAATATGGGCCTCCCGGAAGGCCGGAAATGGGCCCGTTTCCAGCTTCCAGAAAGCCTCCAGAGCCCGGGGAGGCTGTTTTCGCACTCGCGAAGTCTCGAGGAAAGCCTCGGGAGCCCATGGAGGACAAAAACGCCCTCCCTCCCCACCATCGGGCTGACTAGGCCACGCCCACCGTGGCCACACCCACCCAGCAACCAGGCAGAGAACCAGTTGCTAAAATTTTGGAAGCCCACCCCTGTGCACGACCACTGACTTTTCTGTGGCGGAGGAAGACAGTTTTAAATTTGAACGTCCTCGTTTCCGTCGTTAAGGGAATCCCAGCCGTTGTTCCCGTGAGTTGTCAGCGTTCCAAGCAAAGCTCCCCGGTCATTAAAGCGCTTCCGGCTTCTTTTTCCCCTTGACGGGAGCCTTCCACTTTGTTGGCTCAGCGAGACCTTTTGTTTCAGTCGAGAAATGGAACGTTGCCCCTTTTGACAACCTGTCCAGTCGTGTGAAGTCAATCGCTGTCAGGGTGAAAAGTTAGTCCCGATGGTCATTAAAGCGAATCTGGGTTCCCCACTGATGGAAGGTGGCAAAAAGGGTCTGACCCTCGTCATAAATACGAGTCAGTGGCCGAGCGTCTGAATTTCGATCCTGTCAAGGGTGTAAGTCAGAAACACAGTCCCAAGTCCCTCGTTTCAGGGCCGTTGGAACTTCAAATGGTCGTAAGTCGAGGGCAACGAAGAAGGCGGACCTCTTTTCTCCAAATGACTGGAAAAGATTATTCTCCGGGCCAGAAAACCTAGGTCGTTCATCGGTTGGCAGAGAACGGGGTCAACGGTGGAATCCCAAACCCCTCCGTTACATAGTCTCGGTTACGACAGATTTGACTGACTTGCCTCTCTCTCTCTCTCTTTTCACCCCAGGTACTCTGTTGAAAGGATTGGCCGGCTTTGGGCTTTGCGCCCGGCGCCCCGTGCCCAACAAACCGGGTGCTTTGCTCTCAGCGCCGCCTCTGTGCCTCGAAAACTCTCCTGTTCTGCATGCCAATCACGTGCCCCCTCATCCTGCCACAGCCAGCAGCAGCAGCAGCTCCGCGTTGGTAAGTGAGCCGGAAAAGGGCCATGTGGAAGAGGCAGCCCACAACACCATAGTTGTTGTTCTCCTCCTCCTCCTGTCTCCTCCTCCTTATCATCTACCACTTCTTCCTCTTCTTCCCCCTCCTCCTCCTTTCCCTTCTAAGCACTGATGATGTTCCCTAGTTGGGTCATGAGACGTCTGCAAGAAAAACAACCAGCTCAGAGAGCACCAAGGAGCCCACAGTCCTCCCTCCCTCCCTCCCTTCCTTCCTTCCAGCACTAATGATGTTCACAGATTTTCTCCTCCTCCCTCCTCTTTCTCCTCTTCCCCCTTCTCCTTTCCATGAACCCCCTTCTCCCTTCTAGCCCTGATGACGTTCCCTAGTTGGGTCGTGAGACGTCTGATAGAAAACCACCCAGCTCA